CCAGATCACCCACGAAAGAGACGCTGAAAAGGCACGGGCCGAGGAAGCCTTCACCCGTTTGGAACAAGAGCGCGGAGCTCACCACCGACGAACCCAGGAGTTAGAGTATCGGCTGGACCGGCATTCCCGGCGAACCCACGACACCAACGACAAGGCGCGTGGCCTACGACAGAGTGTTGAGCATATGCACAAAACATGACAACAACCGAAGCCACCTTGAAGGCCCACGCGAGCGACGCCCATATCCACGCCCCACCGCGACTTCCAGAGTTTACAACCGACAGAGCCCCAACCGTCGCCTGTGGAAACATCTGCGATGGAACCGCAGTGCGCGTCATCAGGAGCTGCCTCCGTTGCAGCCTCAGCCCAGACGCGTCGAGTTTTTCCTGCGCGTGCACCATCGCCGACACCGCCGATTCCATCGCATAGTGGTACCGCCCCGATCAAGGAATCAGATACTGTTCGCATTCCCCAAGTTACAAGAGTGACAGCATATGGCCACGGATAACTTCGGCAGAGACCCAGGACGTCCTGCCAAGGCATGCACCTTCCTTTGTGTCGCCGAACAACCTGACACTACATTTGAAGATTTACAAGGCAGTGGCGACATTGAGAGCATCGATGGCCAGCTCGCCGGTGGACTTTCGGCTGTTATCAACACGGAGCTTCGTTTCCAGATGAAGAACCTCGAAGTTCAGGAACACAAAGCCAGTCGCATGCTGAAGGGTAGGCAGATCTACTGAACCACGTTCTTGCAATCTTACAAGGTCACGGACGTCGACGACCGACACCATGCACGACTTCGAACGTCTCCAACTTGTTCGCACGCGGGACGACGGTTTCCAACGGTTTGTCGTGGACTGGGACAACTTACTCTTGGAATGCCGTGTGGTGGCGTTGCAGGTGATGCTGATGTTGTTGCGTTTGGTGTTGCTGCTTGTTGTCGTTGTGGTCACAGTGTTGCTGATGGTGGCGTTTGTGCTGTGTCGCGTGGTCCTGCTGCTCCTTTGCCCGTCGCGGTCGTCATACTGGAGGTGCTAGTGTCATTATTGCCGGTGCGCATAGTGGTGGTTATTTTTGCTGTCGTGTTGGTCAGAAAGGTAATGCTGGAGTCGCTTGTGTGGCTTGCACTACTAGTTCTGCGGTTGTTGGCTGCTTTGGTGCTGCTACAGCTGCGCATGGTGCTTGTGTTTCTGGCGCTGCTCGTCTCAGTCGCGCTGCTGAGGTGGTTGCGCTAGAGCCAGTGCGCGCGTTCAGTGGGACACTTCGCCCACGATTGCGACGGATGCTCTCGCTTCACCAGTGGCCACATCCAGTGTATCGATGTTGTGCTGGCCTCAACCCAGGCCGCATCCATGGTTGGCAGCGCAGGCCACATCCATGATTGCGAGCTTAGGTTTCGCATTTTCGTTGGCCGCGTCAATGATTGTGACCGTTGTTTTCGCTCCATCTACAACCAAATCCGTCATTGTGAGCGTCATTCTTCGCCTGTCACATCCACGACTACGACGGCTGGTGTCGCCCCAGCGACAGCCATACCCATGACTGCGAACGTTGCTCTCGCCTCAACGCTGGCCACACTCATGATTGCGAGTGGTGTTGTCGCCTTGGCGCTGGCAACATCCACGATTGCGAATATTGACCTCGCTTCAGCGCCTGCCACATCCACGATCGCGAAAATTGCTCCCGGGTTAGCGCCAGCCGCATCCATGATTGCAAATGCTACTGTCGCTTCAGCGCAGGCCACACCCACGATTACGAAAATTACTTTTGCCGTAGCACCAGCCACATTCACGATTGCGGAAGTTGCTCTCGCCACCGCGCCGGCCACATCTTTGATTGAGATTGTTGTTCTCGCCACCGCGCTGGCCACATCCATGATTGCGAAAGTTGTTCTCGCTTCAGTACCGGCCAGATTCTTCATTGGAAACGAAGAGGGATGATTGATCAAGTTGGCACTTTTGCATTGCATGTTGCTGTGCCGCCCCACTCTTGTGCATCATTTGCTACAGCGCGCGCGTGACGCACTGGTGTCGCCGAGCCGTTGACCACGTTGACTTTGATGGGTCGGGTGAACTTTGGCGCGGCGCCAAAGGGGGGGGTGTACATGGGAGGTATGGGTGGCAGGCAGCGGCCACATGCCGCCGCGGCCTGCGCCCTGCTACATAATTCAATGGCGGTGCGCCCTTCTACATACAGTGCCGTTTTTAATGCATGCTCCGCGTGCGGATCATGTATTAAAAATGCAGGCATTCAGTATCAAAAACAACGACGAGTCCATGCATACATTTATTCATATATTGATAATGCTTTCAAAACCATAATATATTAGACACTGCCCTGTAACTTCTGGGCCAGCGCCTGCCTCGCGATCCTTTGAGTGGGGGCAGGCGACCTTTGCTGGCGCCTGAGGGGGTCGGCCTCCCGAACCGCCCCCTCTTTGCTGTGCTCGCCTGGCGCGGGAGACCTTCGCGGCGCTCGCCAATGCAGTGCGGCAGTGCGGTATCCTCCCTCTCTCTCGTCTCCCCTTCCTCCTCCCCCTCCTCCTCCCTCTCCTCCTCCTCCTCTTCCTTCTCCTCATTTCTCTCATCCCTACGCTTCTCACCCTCAGCACTTTTTTTTCTCTAACTTCGGATCCTCTCTCTTTCATGCGCCCTTCTCCTTCATTTTCGTGTTGCCTCCGCCTTGTCCCTCACCCAGCCCTGTTCCATACTCCTCGTGTGCAGTTTTCTGCTTCTCTTGCCTCATGCACTGTTCCTCGGACATTCGCCCTTCTGCCCCCCGCCATCCTCCTCCCAGCCTCACTGATCCTCCCCGTCGCTCTCTTTCTCAATTTGCATCCCCCAGTCCTCCCTGTAACCTCCTCCTCCTCCTCCTCCTCCTCCTCCTCCTCCTCCTCCATCTCTCTTTTACGCCCGCCTCCTCCCTTCACCGTCCCTCTTCCCCACTCCCTCCGTATTCAGCTTCCGCCTGTTCTGGCCTTTCCCCCACTCTGTTCATCGTGCCCCGCCTCCTCTATCTTGCTTCTTGGTACCACCATCTTCCATTGTTTTCCCCCGAGCCCGACCCCGGGTGCCCCAGGCCGCAGCACACACGGGGCACCCAGGGTTCCCTAGGTGTCGCCTTCCTTCAAGGGGGCCTCCCTGGGGCCCTCCCCGAGCTCCCCCAGGAGGCCCCCATAGCTTTGCAGAAGTTCCAAGAGGGCCCCGCACGACGGTCCCAGGGGGCCCCCAGGCTGCCCCAGAAAGCTCCTAGCAGCACAAGGAGGCCCCAAGATGTCGCCAGCGTGCCCTCACAGGACTTCCAAGTCCAAAGCAAAAGGGAATCCCAACGTGTTTTCCTTTCTTGGCTGGAGTTCCCATGTTGTTGCCAACGCGTGGCTCTAAGATGGCCTGGTGGGCAGAAATGGTCCCGAAGAGAGTTGCAAGATTGCCCACGGGTATCCCAGGACTGTCGCGAGGACAAAGCCTCAAGGCGACTTCAGACACCAAGGCGTGCGTTTCCAAGCCAAAGACACCAATCATTTGGACACGGCCCCGCTGACGCGCTGTACGCTTGGCCGAATGGGAAGTATAACTTGAGCGCGCGCGCGAAGCGCGCGCGATGGATCTAGTATGAAACAATACGAAATACTGCGAGGGTTGTGGTGGTGATGATGACGATTATGAAGATGGTTTTGTCGGTTGGTGTCTGTGGTGCTGGAGGTGGGGGCGTGGAGAAGGAAGAGGAATAGGAGAAGGAGGAAGAGTAGGAGGAGGAGGAAGACCAGAGGGCAAGCCAAATGAGCATCAACGTTATTCCAAGCAGGTGTTGAGGCGATAGCTACAGTTTGAAAACAGACCGTCCTCCATGTTCGAAACTGTTGCGAACGTTTAAGGCGGATTTGCGAGGCGCCAGCCACGTTTTGAAAACCATCCGCCATCCATCTTTGAATGCGTGCGGCGCTGAGGCGAGAGCTACATTTTGAGAAGGACCCGTCATCCGTCCGCGAAGCTGTTGCAAATTTCAAGGTCTGGACTATGAATGGTAAGGAAGTCTCCGACGAAACGCCCGGCCCGCCGTACCGACATGCTCGGGTGCGACATGGAGGAGTTCGTCATGAGGAAGTGAAGAGGGAGATGACGCGGGGGGGGGGAGGAGGGAGGTAGAGGGAGGAAGAATGAGGGGGAGGGGGAAGATGAGGAGGAGGAGGAGGAGGAGGAAAGGGGAGGAGGAGTGAGGCGACGCAAAGGCAGAGGGGGTGGTGACTGGATGAGGACCAGCGTGAACCCAAGACGCACTGACGATGTTGCAATACACCCTCCCACCAAGTCCCACCTTCATAGCCCCCTACAACAGTTTATTATCATGGTGGGAATTGCCCCATTGACGACAATCGTTAGCTAATCCTTCATCGTGCCAAAATCGCTATTTCTGAGACTTCAGCGCCGCAGATCAATATGACGATTGCCTCCTGGCAACCTCAACTCGTGCCACGACGCTGCTCCTTGGACCCCAACACATCGAATCAACGTGACCCTTGCGTCCTGACAGTCCTAATCGTGCCAGAGCATTAAAGACGAATGTGCGCGGCGCCACGGCGAGAGCCACGTTTTGAAAACGAACCGCCCTCCATCCGTGAAGTTGCTACACACCTTTAAGACGAATTTGCGCGGCGCGAAGGCGACAGTCGCAGTTCGAAAACCACCCGCCCTCCATGCTTGAAACTGTTGCGAGCTTGTGTGACATGCGCGCGGCGCTGAGGCGAGAGCCACATTTTGAAAACCACCCGCCCGCCATCTTTGATCATGCTGCAATAGTTGAAGACAAAGGTGTGTGTCGCTCAGGCGAAAACTCAATTTTTCGAAGGACCCGCCATCCATCCGCGAATGCCTTGCACAGTTCAATTTCTGGACCATTTCAGGAAGTCTCAGGCAAAACGCCCGGTCCGCCCTACCAACACGTAAGCGGGGCGGAGGCGGGAAGAGGGAGGATGCTTCCCTCTGCGACCCTGGTCGCAGATGAGTTTCTTCGAGTCCGTGTTCTCCTTCGTTTTTGGCGACGGCGACCCCAACGCGTCCCTCGGGGAGGAGCGGTGGCGGCTCCTCGCGGAACGCATAGGAGCGCCGCGGGGAAGCAGAGGGGGAAAGAAGTGCGGGGAGCGGGGCGAGGATGAGGGACATTGGGAGGGCAGGAAGGGGAGGGGAGGAAGAGAAGGGGAGGAAGAGGAAATGGAGGGGGAGGACGGGACTGGGGAGGGGGGTGAGGGGAGGGGGAGAAAGGGGACGGGAGGGGCGCCGGGAGCCAGAGAGGAGCGAGGTCTCAGGAGGTGGGGGAGAGTGGAGGGGAGGCTGGTTGATTGGTTGGTCCTTCGACCAGGGAGGCTTATAAAGCTGGCCTGCGCCACAAGTCCCTCCTTTCCACTCCACCTCTCTTCCTCCTGCGAGTAAAGATGTGATCGAGGCGCCTCCAGAGGAGTGACGCCTGCTCCCGTGTACTGTCTCACGCCCTTTCTCTTTTTCTGTGCGCGATTTCCTCCACGGACGGGCACGCTCCAATCCGTTAGGGAGCGGAAAGACGATAAGATGGGAGGATGGGGGCGGCAACGGGGATCGCGCTGTGGATTGCTCTCGGTGCCAGGACCACCCCCGAGGAGGGGATGGCCGCCATGCGGGGTTGGGGCGCAACCATCCTGGGTAGGCGAGCTCCGCCCTCAGGGCCTCTGCGCCACCCTGGTGGTGCCGTTCCCAGGTTGCCGCCCTGCCACAAGGAGAGGTGGCGGGGAGGGAGGGGCAGAGGTTGGGGCGGGAAGCGGAGCGGAGGGAGAGGTAGAAGGGGAGTTACCATGATTTTGTGGTTGATGCCGATATTTCTGTTGCTGTTCATGGTCACGGCGACGACAACGGCGAGTATGGCGACGGTTCGACGGCCACGACGACGGTTATGTCGACGAGGCGGATTAAGACCATACGGACGACGATGCCGATGTTGATGCTGATAGTGATGTTGCCGATGATGAGGATGATAGTGATGTTGTTTTGATGGTGATGTATATAATGTTTATTATACTGATGATGAGGATGACGATGATCACGATCATGATCAGGATGATGATCAGGAAATCGATCCTTATGATGGTGATGGTTATGACGGTGAAGATGACGATGCTGATGTTGATGCTGGTGATGTTGATGATGATGATGGTGATGCTGATGTTGACGATGTTACTGCTGATGATGATGATGATGATGATGCTGATGATGATGATGGTGATGGTGATGAGGAGTACGGGGATGATGATCGGTGATGCTGCTGCTGATGATGATGATGATGATGATGATGAGGTCGATGCTGACGATCACTCTGCTGATAGTGAAGACGATGCAAACGGTGACTGTGCAGAGACTGTTACTGATTCTGATAATGCCGATGTTGCTGAGGATGCGGATTATGATGATGCCGATGATAACGAGTATGTTAATGTTGTTGACGATGCTGATGCCTATGCTGATGATGAAGATGATGATGATGATGATGATGATGATGATGATGCTGATACTGATGCTGCTGGTGATGATTGGGTTGATGCGCAGGGTGATTATGATGATGATGACGATGATGATGATAATGATGATACTGATGCTGATAATGATAATGATGATGATGATGATGATGATGATGATGATGATGATGATGATGATGATGATGATGATGATGATGATGATTCTGGTTATGATCATGATCATGATCGTGATTATGTTGTTGTTGGTGGTGATGATGCTGATGGTGATACAAGTAAGGATGCTGATTTTGTCACCATGCCATTCGCTAGCGGCCGTCGGGGCCAGAGGACATCATTCCACCTCTCCTCGGACAAGGTCACCCCGAAGCGCCGCATATGCACGGCTGCGCTGATGGTTGCATTCTCCCAGGAATTTCTTAGAGATGGGGATTGCGCAGCTGGCGCACGAGGACAAGGCAGGTATGATCGCCACCGCCCTGACACAACGATGAAGCGCTAAATTGTCAGTTGCGCTCCACCGACTCATTGCCTGGGAGTTGTGCGCGGGCTTTGGCGGGGCCGCGCTGAAGGCATGGCCGCGAGAGGCGATCGTGAGTCAATCACGAATGCGTGTGCAGCTTCTGTAGCGAGCCCGCGATCTCAGGGGGAACCCCCTGAGTTTTGGTTGGGCCGCCGCGCTCGCGGCCAGCTGAAGGAGGAGGACCAAGATTCTCGGACAGATTTGCCAACAACGATGCAACCACACCATTATCGAGAGCTCGAGGTGCAGAACATCCTTGCGACAAGCGAGCAGCAGTGAGGACAGAGGAAGGCCCCCATCCCGGCCGCCAGAGAGAACTGATTACGATCTCCCCCGGGGGCACTTGACCTTCCACCTATGCTTTCGTGTTCAGGAGAATAGGGCAACCTATAACTGCAAAGCCCTGTCCTGTGGCGCCGAAGTGGATGCAACGCGGCGCCGCCCGCGCCAGCTACGCAGGACTGTCGGAGTCCTTGCCCGCGCAGGTGCCGCAGACAACAAACTCTGAAAGACATAGCTGGTCCTGCACTCCACGCTGCTGAAATCATGCCCGACCCGAAGCCTCACCAATCCCACCGCCCAGGTCTAGTCCTCATCGATGCTATGCGCGGCGTCGAAGTGAGAGAGACTACGAGTGAATATTTCCGAAGGGTAGTGCGAAGGTCTAGGAGGTCCGGGAAGATTATGGGGACCAGCGCATCAGAACTCTCTTGCTTAAAGCGTAATCCTCCTTCAATCCCATCGCGCCTGTCGATCCTCTGTCCTGGTTCCACCGTCCAAAGCTCCTGCGCGCCTGACATCTGCCTGGCGAGGGGGAGGGTCCGGGAGGAGCCGCATGGGGGGAACAGGTGATTGTGGCAGCTGCAGCTACAAAAGCTATCCAGCGAAACGAATCGGCCGCCGCCGTCTGGTTTCTGTCGCTTCATAGTTGGTGGAGGTGACAGTCTCGTCCTCGAAGCTCTGGCCGTCGTCAAGTCTGCGACTGGATACTGAGATGGTGCCGCGTGCGGGCGCTGCTGACACCATCGTCGTACTTGCTTGCGTTGTTGTTCATGTCAGCGTACATACATACATACATACATACATACATACATACATACATACATACATACATACATACATACATACATACATACATACAAACATACATACATACATACATACATACATACATACATACATACATGTATATATGTACATATATGTTATAATTATGTATACATATAGGTGTATGTATGTATGTATGTATGTATGTATGTATGTATGCATGTATGTATATGTGTATGTGTGTATGTGTGTATGTGTGTGTATGTGTGTGTATGTGTGTGTATGTATGTATGTATGTATGTATGTATGTATGTATGTATGTATGTGTGTATGTATGTATGTATGTGTTTGTATGTACGTATGTATCTATGTATGTATGCATGTATGCATGTATGTATGTATGTATGTATGTATGTATGTATGCATATACGTGTGTGTGCATATATATATATATATATATATATATATATATCCGTAAGGGCTTCGCCCCCTGCCGCCGGCCCCCTCTCTCGGAGAATGGGCCATGGAAGAGCTAAGTCATGAGGCTTTGGCGCTGTCGTGCAGCAGTATCGGAACTTCATGCGAGGCCGATTCGCAATCGGCAAAACCAAACTGATCACAAGAGGGGTTACCACACAGGGCGATTGGTAAGACGTGTATGGTTTACGAGCTTGGTTACCACACCTTGGGATTAAAGGGCCGAGGGAGTACTCGCAGTTTGGGTTACCACGCCTTGCGATGGATGTGCGTGAGGGGTGGCACCGAATTTCAGAAATGTGGCAAATCCCCTGTGTTTTTGGACCCTGACCCCGCGGATCTGCGTGAGGGGTGGCACCGAATTTCAGAAATGTGGCAAATCCCCTGTGTTTTTGGACCCTGACCCCGCGGATCTGCGTGAGGGGTGGCACCGAATTTCAGAAATGTGGCAAATCCCATGTGTTTTTGGACCCTGACCCCGCGGATCTGCGTGAGGGGTGGCACCGAATTTCAGAAATGTGGCAAATCCCATGTGTTTTTGGACCCTGACCCCGCGGATCTGCGTGAGGGGTGGCACCGAATTTCAGAAATGTGGCAAATCCCATGTGTTTTTGGACCCTGACCCCGCGGATCTGCGTGAGGGGTGGCACCGAATTTGAGAAATGTGGCAAATCCCGTGTGTTTTTGGACCCTGACCCCGCGGATCTGCGTGAGGGGTGGCACCGAATTTCAGAAATGTGGCAAATCCCTTGTGTTTTTGGACCCTGACCCCGCGGATCTGCGTGAGGGGTGGCACCGAATTTCAGAAATGTGGCAAATCCTATGTGTTTTTGGACCCTGACCCCGCGGATCTGCGTGAGGGGTGTCGATTTCGAGCCCCCCCAGCAATTCAGACAACGCGCCCAGGTGAGGCTAAAAGTCTTGTTTGGGCCTCCCCCCCCCTCGCGCGGTCAATCAACTAGTTACAGTAACCAGCAAGAAGTCAACTAGTTACAGTAACCAGCAAGAAGCAGAACTGTAACACTGGAAACTACAACCTACGACTGGTACAGGAAACTGCGAATCACGTGCCTCGCAGCCTGGTGGCCCCACAAGGGGGCCGGCGGATATATATATATATATATATATATATATATATATATATATATATAGAGGGCATTTAGTTATTTTGTCAGGTGGCCCCGGGAATGTCCGCGAGCACGCAGGAGTGGGTTTTGTGGTTGCTCCTTCTGCCCGGCACGCTGTCCAGAGCTTCGTTCAAGAATCGAGCAGACTTGCTAGTCTAACGCTTCGAATCCCTGGCGGCTCCATGTCTATCATTACCGCGTACTGCCCTCAATCTGGTCTTGATTTTGATGTCCGTCACGACTTCCATAGCGATCTTCACAATTTTATTCTCCGTACCAAGCCTCATGGACCTTTGTACGTATTTGGTGACATGAATGCCCGTTTTGGTCCAGACTGCGATCATGTAGACGTTGTCGGTCCATATGCCTGGGGGCCTACAGGTAACGCGGTCGATGCTCGCAGTAATCAGCACATGCTCGTCGAAGT